ATATATATATATATATATATATATATATATATATATATATAAACCCTCAATTTTAGTACTTTAAAAGAATATATGTTTTCATATATTATGTGTATAGTACAGATAATTTGAGAATAAGTGAGTTGTTTACTCACCCTTTCATCAGCTGGGCAGCAGTAAAATAGGCAGCCATGGCTTGATCGTGCTCACTCTCCACTGCAAATGAGTGACCATAGGCAATCCACGCAGGGCCGTACGTTCTCTCCAGAGTGGTGGCTTTGCTACAGTGGATCAAAAAATTGTTACACGAAACATCCAGTAAAGAGGTACTAAAACGGGATGTGCTTTGTTTTTAATAACATGCCTAAGGTAACGCCGAGCGTGTTCGTTTTTGTTGCCAACCATAAGATAGTAGCAGCCGACAGCAAACCAGGATACCTGGTAAAAGGTTCACTTGGTAATGAAAAATGCTAAAATATCACAACCGGTAAAAATCAGTGTAAAAATTAAAAGCAGAAAAATACTTACTGGATTGTTTGGGTACAAGTCTACAAGTCTGTGTGAGAGGTAAAATAACTCTGCAGATGAAAAAACACTGATCAAACAACGAACACATTTTAAATTTTATATGAAACAATTGTGTATTTTACCATTTGATTTTCCGAGCTCCACCAACGTTCCTATGTGAACTGGTAAACAGTTAGCATGGAAAGGATCTTTTACCATCACCCTGAAAGACCAACAAACAACTATTTTATTTCTCTAAAATCTCTCATTTAATTATGCCTGCTTAGAATAACAAAACCCATTATTTAATAAAAACGTTAAAAAAAACAGCACGTGATAAAAATCCAAACTTGCCATTAGGTAATATCAGTTTAAATTACAATAAAGTACTTTCAGAAAAATGATGAATTTCTGGTTGGCTTGAATTCACAAACACAAACTACGTGTAACTGCATAGCTCGAATGCTCTCATCTCCACTAGAAATAAAAACTAGTTCTAAACTAAAAATCTAATTCCATTTCGCATAGGATTCAGCCTTTAAGGCTGTCGCTAGTGGGTTTATCCCTACGCGCGCAGCACTGAAAACTTTAGTCCAAGCCCACCTGCTGTGTGTGCCTCACCCCCAGTCCAATCGGCTCCCATGTTTTCTTCAGCCAGCTAGCTAGCACTGTCAGAAAAACGAAGAAGGAAAAGTTGTCCAGCTTTGACTGGCACAACCTTTGCTAAGGATGCCTGGTTCTCCGCCACGACGATGGACGATGCCACCGCCTTTTCTAACGTGTTTTTATCTCGAGGTGAATCGGAAGATTCCCTCGAAAAAGGCGTTGTTGGCAGCAGCTCCGCTGAGTGTTTTTTTTCGGTGGCGGGACGCTATGCGCGGGACGACGCCACCGCCTTCTTTGACGCTGAGTCACGCTGTGAATCAAATGATTTCTTCGAGAAAGGCGATGCAGAGCTGCCCCTTACCTCCTGGAGAGCGTAGTGACGGAAGACGCTCAGCCACCTCAGATCTTCCAACGTTGGCGACCACACCGCTCCCAGCCGTCGGCGCCCTCCTCTCGGAGCTGCCCGTCATAATCAAGGAGGATGTTCACACAAGGGACTTTCTGTCTCTCACCTTCCTCCGCCCTGATCGGATGATCTGGCGGTAAGGTTGGCTCCGCCCCGGCTCGTCGCCCTGACCCCACCTGGCCTCGCTGTCCAGCTGTGACGTCACACTGGAACGGGGCTGCAGCTGGTCCCGGCAAGCTGAAGACATCCATCTCCACCTTCGCCTCCATCTCTAGAGTGGAGGGTTTTACCAATCAGTGGTTTTTCCCTCGGTCCCCCCCTTGGAGCCAAGCCTGGCAGTGGCACTTGGGGCAAAAGCTTCCAGGACGGACCAGCAACCCGTCCCTCCAGGGAAGCATGACCAGATGGTGACAAGGTCTCCAACCAAGCTCAACAGTGCACATTTCAGACGGCCGCAGCGAACAACAACGTTGCCCTGCTGGCCTACAGCATCTCTAAGAGGCTGGAGGAAGCAGACCTGCTGGAGGAGACAAAGAGCTCTCTCTGTAAAGCTGTTGATGTCATCTTAAACATGTGCCACCTCTGCGATCTGCCTGTCCCGCATCGCCGCCTGGATGACCATGATCCCGAGGACCACTTGGCTTCGCCTCTCGCCATCCTTGTCCGAGAGGCTGCAGAAAGACCTGCAGGAGGGCCCCATCACCACAGAGGCGCTGTTCGGGGCCAACTTCAGGACCATCCCTGAGAAACCGGAGAGGTCCGAGGAGGTCTCAGAGACTGTACACCATCTGGTGACGTCACAGTCCTCCTCTCGCCCCCCCGGCCGCTGGTGGGACTGCCTTGGCCAGCAACAGCAGCAGAGGCGCTTCACAGCTGCAGCAGCGACTTCACGCCCTGCTCTTCCGCCGGACCCCTCCACCAGGTAACAGATCTTTGAGGGGAAGGTATGTGTTTTTTGATGATGTATGTGTTTTGATATAAAACAGAAACATCTCTGAAAGTAGAAGTTTTTTCATCTAGGACTGTCGGATCAGCTGATATCACAGCTGCCTCTCTTCACACATTCCCCACACAGAATGAGCCAGTAACCTCTAAACACCGTTTTAAATGGCACCGCGGTTCAGTAAATATCACCAGACATTCATCTGCCACGTCAACTAAAATGATGTTTTTTCAGCAGACCGAGTCCGGAAAAATCCCTCGTTTTCAGCCAAAGCCCATTTTTAATTTCTGCTGTTTTCTGCCCACTCACAGCGCAGCAGGAGTAAACATGTTTCTCCACGACAGCTGCAGCCTCCACCGAAACTGCGTCTCACACAGAAAGCGCTCACGCCTCCACTCAGTGCGCGCCACCTCACCTCAGCTCTATGTGAGACCGCAGCCTGGGCTCAGCACAGCACATACAGCCCTTTTTTCTGTCGGAGCCCCCATTGGGTTCCCTTGGAGAATCTCCGGAGCGAGTGATGGCAGTAAGGACTTTTAGTATGGTTGACGTTTCATGAGAAACATGATAAAACAAATGCGTGCCCGCTCTCCGAGCGTTACTCAGAGTGGCAGCGAGTGTGTTCCCTGGACAGATGGACGGACTGTCTGATCAGAAGGGGTTACACACTGCAGTTCGCAGCTCAACCCCCACCGTTCAGAGGGATTATAGAGACGGTTCTGTCTTCTCCAGAACAGAGCTCATCTCTACAGTCAGGAGTTCAGGAATATCTGACAAAAAAACGCGATTTCCAGAGTTCCCAACTGAGAGGAAAATACGGGATTTTTTTCCTCCCACTACTTCCTGGTTCTGAGAAAAAAACAGAGGGATGAGACCCATTCTCAACCTGTTCATGTTCAGCAACTCGATCATGGGGAGACAATTCCACATGATGACAAACAGCTGCTGGAGAACTTCACCAGAACGACTGGTTTTCACCTCCATAGATCTGAAGAGCGCATATTTTCACATTTCCATCATTCTGAAACACCCCACGCATGTTCTCGAAATGCGTGACGACGGCTCTGCAGTCGTTACACATGGCAGGAATGAGAATTATTTTTATCTAGATGATCTGCTCTTATTAGCTCGGTCCAGTTAGAAAGCTGTCGTACAGACCAAAACGCTAGTGTTCCACCTGCTAAACCTGGGGTTTCTATAAACTGGGAAAAACTTCCGTTTGTCCATCCCAGATGATTGTTTATCTGGAAATGGAGCTAACCTCAATTACAACGAGAGCCCGATTATCACAGCTGAGAACCGAATCTCTATCAGCTCAGCTCTTCCGTGTCAAACCCAAATCCACCGTGTCAAACCCTGCAGCATAGTGACAGTTCTGCCTGTCATGCGACTCCTGGGATGATGTCAGCGGCCCACATTGTGGTTCCGCTGGGCCTACTTCACACGAGACGCCTTCAGAGATGGTTCGCCCACCTGCGCATAGGACGCATTTTCTCCACCCTGAACTCAGTTCTACACCTCAGTGAGCCTTCACCTCTGGAAGCCTCAACTGAGCTGTGTGAGAACTTCCTCCATTTCTTTTTAGAAAAAGTGGCAAACACCCGGGCACTCATTTCTCCACCAGCTCATGATCTGTCCATCCCATCTCAGTGCGTGGCTGTGTTTGACCACTTTGAGCCCATCTCTCTGTCCTCTCTGGAGCAGGTAATGTGCAGCATGAAGCCATCTGGTTCCCCCTTTGATGTGGTCCCCCCTCGACTGCTAAAGGAAGTTTTTCTTACCCTGGGTCCTTTTATCCTCGCTATTCTGAATAGCAGTTTATCCTCAGGTGTGGTGCCAAAGACTTTTAAACATGCTGCTGTCCAGCCCCTCCTGAAAAAACCTAACCTTGACCCCTCAGTCATGTCCAACTTCCGGCCTGTCTCCAGACTCCCATTCACCTCTAAACTACTGGAAAAAATTGTGGAGTCTCAGTTGAAACAGTTTTTGGGGGATCACGCTATCCTTGAGTTATTCCAATCTGGCTTCAAATCTCTCCATAGCACTGAAACTGCTCTACTGAAGGTTTTTAATGACATTTTCATATCCACAGACGCAGGTGATTCTGTGCTGCTTGTCCTATTGGACCTTACATCTGCTTTTGACACCATCGACCACAACATCCTCATTTCTAGACTGGAGCAGTGGGTGGGCATCACAGGGTCAGCCCTTAAATGGTTTGGGTCCTACCTCTCTGACAGAACCTTCTGTGTCAATATCAAAGATTTTAGTTCGGCATCGACAGCGCTCCAGTGGGGGGTACCGCAGGGGTCCATCCTCGGTCCCCTTCTCTTTTCTTTTTACCTGCTGCCACTAGGTGCTATCTTCCGCAAACACGACATACCCTTTCATTTCTATGCCGATGATTGCCAAATTTACTTCCCCCTGAGGCACAGAGGCACACGCTCTATTCAGCCTCTTCTTGGCTGCCTGGCTGACATCTGGGACTGGATGGCTTTAAACTTCTTAAGCTTCAATGAGAAGAAGTCTGAAGTCATGCTGTTCCATCCCAGTGGCTCACTCATGAACCAAGACATTGACCTTTTCTCTCTAGCCCCGCTAGAGAAACAAAAGGTCACTAATCTGGGGGTGATAATGGACCCGTCCTTAAAACTCAACAGTCACGTAAACATGATGGTTAAATCCTGTTTTTTTCAGCTGAGACGGCTGTCTAAGCTGAAGCCTATACTCTCCAAAAAGAACCTTGAGACAGTGATCCACGCCTTCATAACATCTAGGCTTGATTACTGCAATTCACTTCTGTTTGGAATCAGTCAGTCCTCCATTGCTCGTCTACAACTGGTCCAAAATGCTGCAGCCCGATTTTTAACTGGTACAGGCTATAGAGAGCACATCACGCCAGTTTTGGCCTCCCTGCACTGGCTACCCATTCATCTTCGGATCCATTTCAAAATTCTCATGTATGTTTTTAAATCACTGAACAGTTCCGCCCCATCCTATCTCACTGATCTTCTGCAGCCATATGTCCCACCGCGCTCTCTGAAGTCAGCAGACCAGATGCTTCTCTCAGTCCCAGAAACCAGTCGTAAGCTCAGAGGTGACGGGGCTTTCTCTGTTGCAGGTCCACGACTGTGGAATGAGTTGCCACTGAGTGTCCGGCAGGCTCCCACACTCTCAGTCTTTAAGTCTCGCTTGAAGACCCACTTCTATTTGCTTGCCTTTAACACGGTGTGATTTGTTTTGGTCCGGTCTGTTCTCTACTC